TGGAATTATAAATTGAGCTTTTTGGTCAGTCTTTTATCCCCACAATTGCCACAATTGTATGAAAATAGCATGATAAGCATTTTTCCAAAATTATGAATTTGCATGATAGGCATTTTTTCATGATATGAAATTGTATGACAAGCATTGTTTCCATTAATGAAAATACAAAAAAAATTTTTTCGAAATTTTGAATTTCATCCGAAACACAAACCAAGGGTTTTTTGTCATATGAAAACCCAGAGTGTAACTTGCAGTTATCACTCAGATAAAGTGCATTTGGTGGTTTTAAACATGAAAGTTAATTTTATTTTTTTACATTTTTACAATATTTTTTTTTGTATATGGCTAGATAATTTCTAGTTTGAAAGTTTTGATGGAAAAAGGGCCTGTTTTTTACAAATTTAATTTCATCTTAGCAAATGAAACAAAAAATAATCATCTTGTTTTTAGAAAAAGCACTTTTTTTGAATTTTGGATTTTTTGGGTGAAAAACTCATCCAGGACTACGCTATAAACACAAAAAGTCAAATTTTGAATGCAAATTGTTTTTTCGTAAAATTGTATTTGAGCACAAAAGTAAGTTTGCAACCAAAAAAGGGATAATAAATTGTTTACCACAAATTTGTAATTTTCTTTATAGGAAAAAATGCTATCATACAGTTTTCATATATGAAAACTATTAGATAAGCATTTTTCCAACCAAAAATAAAATAAAGTTTTTGATTGTCAAAATGCCCTCTATCGTAGATATAATTATTTAAATATATTTAAAGTTACACAGACACGTTTTTTGATGATTTGAAAATTTTATTTTTTCTATGACAAAATGATTATATTATAATTTTCATACATGCAAATTGTATGATAAGCTTTTTTTTATCGAAAATTTTGAATCATTTTTTAACGTCCAAAAAACTTCAAAAGAGGCAAATAAGCCAAAAACTTTTCCTTTAAACTTTTAAAACACTTTTTAAATTTTGTTTGAATTTTGTATGATAAGCATTTTTTCCATAGATTTCATGGACGTTAAGCCGGTTGTTTTTAAATTTAAAAATATGAAATTTATGGTTTTAATTAGAAGAACATCAGATATTGTTTCCGGAGTCTCAGACAAATTTAATTTTATATATTGCAAAACTCTGTTTAAATTTACATTAACAGGTCGCAGAGAAAGAAACTGGCCTATTTTCTGCTGCTCAAAAATAGGAAAAGAAAACGCTGCGAAACTAATTTTGGATAGCGAGTTTGGTAGAGAAGAACTAGAAGAAAACGTTCAAATATGTTATCCTGATTCGAAATCAATAGGCGCAAGAATACCCTTTGAATCCCAGAGTCTTTCTATGAGAGCGAAGGAATCGAAAGTTTTGCCTGCCACCTCGGCTCTAGGTAGGCCATCAGAGACAACGTTAAAATCATATTCTGATACCAGCATGACTTCGAGCACTTCGTCGCCAACGACTTCGAGTACCACGTCTAGCACGACTTCAAGCACTTCGTCGCAAACGACTTCGAGTACCACGTCTAGCACGACTTCAAGCACATCGTCGCCAACGACTTCGAGTACCACGTCAAGCACGACATCTAGTACGACTAGCTCTACTACTTCCTCTACAACTCCTCCTCCGAGGAAAACTTTACAAAGACCTCGAAGAACGACATTAGAGTTGTCTGATAAACGTGAGTCAATTCAAGCTTTCAAAGGGGTCTTGATGTTGATGACTAGTGTCCAGAGATTCAAGTAGCACCAAATCTCACGCTGTCAGAAAAATCAAAAATTGTTATTTTCAACGAAAAATCATCAGGGTCGTTTTTTTTTGCGTAAGTCGACTCCTATTTTTCTTCTAGTGTAAGATAAATCAAAAACAATTATTCTAGCTCTGAGACGCTCAAAGAGATTATATAATAGTTTAATGGCATAGTTAAGGCTCGGAACTGATTGGTTGATATCAAAAATGTTTAAAGTTCATTGTGCTTTCTCAAGTGGTGGTTTTGTGAAAGAACTATTATATAAATTTGCTTAATAAAGTTTCTTATGAGTCTATAAAAAAATCCACTACTTCTTTTTTTGAAAAAAGAACACGACAGTATTTTTGTTGTTTCTTGCGTTCATTGAAACATTTCCAACTGTTAATTGGCTACATTTTTACTCGTCAATGAACACAATAGAACACATTAATTTGGTCGAAGTGTTTTTGTTTCGTTTTTTTTTCTCAAGAAATTGTAATTCAATTTGTTCACGATGAGCCAAATTTTTGCTTTTGAACCTTTAATTTCATTTTACCTTTAAATCAGTTTCATTTGCTAAAAGGAAGGCAAATTAAGCTCTCCAATAACGAAAGTGCAATATTCGAAAAAAAAACGTGTCAATTATAAAAGGTTCACGATGAGCTTGAGCTGATAAATTTTTTTCCTTAAAACTCCTTTTTTAGATCTTTCTGAAGCAATTAACATTTTCTGACGTACTGCCTGTGGACTAGTTTTTTTTAAATAAATGCAAACTCCATTATCAAAGAGGAAAATTCAAAAGGTCACCAGAATGAAATTTCTGAATTACCTGCGGAACAAAAAAATACCTATCGACAACCACAGCGATAGTTTCCAGTTTTTCCAAGTTGTGGATGGCTATATTTAAGAGTCATTAACGTTTTCAATACTCTTATATATTCAGCTCAAATTTAAATTCCCGCGGTTTAATTTTCAATTTCTGTTTAAAAAAACAGTTCTTTTCTTTTGTTAAAAGAAAGCAAATTCGACTATCAATCTGCAAAATTGTAGAAATCACAAAAATTGTGATCAAATTCTAGTTTTGAATGTGGTTGTCAATTTTCAGATTTTCCGGTGGAATACAAAAATTATTTATCGATCCAACTTTCTCAGATTGTGTTAAAACTATCAAAAAACGTCACTCGTAAAGCTGTTGAAATTTAAAGAACGTAGTTTAGACTCTTATATAGGTGGCAACAAGTTTTTTTTCGGGCAAAGTCTTAAAAATTGTTCAGGCTCAAATTTAGTTTTTCACGGTTTGACTTCTGATTTCTTTTTAATTTCAACTCATTTCCTTTGTTAAAAGGAAGGAAAACTCCATTTTCGAAAAGCAAAAGTTCCGAGGTCACGAAAAACGTGATCGATTTCTAGTTTCGAATGTGGAATTTAATTATGGAATTTCCCAACAAAATAAAAATTTTACCTATTGATCTAGTTTTCTCAAATTGGGTCGTTTTTATTTTGTTGGGAAATTCGATAATTAAATTCCACTTTCAAAGCTAGAAGTTGATCACGTTTTTCAAAGAAAATGAGCTGAAATTAAAAAGAAATCAGAAGTCAACCGCCAAAAAGTAAATTTGAGCCTGAACAAATAGTAAGATTTTTCCTATTTTCCAATTTGTTGCCTGCGTGATTGTTTGTTGGCTATGGTTAATAGTAATAACGTAGTGAAGATTCTTATATAGGTCTTGCTGATTTTTTTTTGTTTTTTTTTTCAGGAAAGTCTTAAAAGCCTCTAATAACTACAGATGTGCATTCATACATATTGATGCATTTATGAAATCACTTAGGCACGGGCGGATCTAGGATTTTCTCGAAGGGGCGGATTTTCAAAAACATTTTGAAAATTTTGTAGTATGTTTTTAGGTCGACCAAATTGATTTTTCGAGCTTTTCAAAAGATCTACAAAGACCCCGAAAGACCCTGTTTTGACCGAATTTTTTTGCACCGTAGGCAAAATTCTGCACTTTTTGGCTTTTTTTGGAAAATTTTGATCAAAAAATTGCGTTTTTTTTTGGCGCGCGCTCCCCGCCTGTAAAAAAACTTTGGGGTCCGTTACCAAAAATGGATATCTCAAAATAGCACAAAGGGGGGACCCTTTGGGTCGGCAGGGGGTCGAATCCCTGAAAGGGGAGCTGCGTCCACCCCATACGCCCCCCTCTATATCAGCCCCTGCACTTAGGTATAAATGCACTTTGTGAGTTCAATTGAAATTCATCTGCTGAAAGTGACGTAAATAACACTCTCCAAATACAAACGTCGAAATGGTGCAAAAAAAATTGAACGATTTCTAGTTCCGAAAGTGGAATTTAATATTTAGATTTCCACCCGAATAAAAACTTGACCTACTGATCCAGTTTTCTCTCGTTGGGTTCGTGTTATCAAAAAACTGCCAATCATAAATTGTTCTAGAATTTCGAAGAGGTTGAAGGGCATCTATTTTTTCTTTGAATTCGAAAGTTGAGATTTTTTCAAGAAAGTCAGTGTTTTTTTATGTTTACTTGCGTTCATTTCTTTTGTCCAATCTTCGATTGGCTATGTTTATAACTATAAGTCGCGTCACGTTTTTTAGTCGCAAAAATTGCTTAGAAATGAACATTGCTAAGTGGTCACCAAATTGCATTATTTTGGAAATAAATTGCAACAATTGGATAAATTGTATCTGCGTCGTTATGATCTATAAATTCATCGCTACCAACAAAGTCGTACGGTAAAGTTGCGGTGCGGTCTTCATCTGCGGTCGCAAAAATAACTGTAAACATGAAAAGCTCTGGACATACTTGTTTTTACTCGAGATAGTGCGGAACTCTCGAAATCTAGTCGCTGTTATCTGCAAACACAATGATGATCTCGACTTGGTCAATGACATGCAATTCTAAAACCAACAAAATGCAATTTGTTTTTCTTTTTCACAAGTTCGTTTATAATGTATTTTCTAGCGTTTCTGAATTTTAGATTTTAGCAGCCGTGAAGTATGGGTTGACAGTAGAAACCTCACAAAGGCGACTTATTATTCGCCACGATATCCGGATAAACTAAATTGGCTGGAGGCGAGAGAATTTTGCAAGTATTATCTTCATATAACAGACACCAATCACGACTTCGATCAGACACCTGCTGGTTTGGCAGTAGCGTTCACCACTGATGAGATGGTGCACCTTACAAAGAGTGAATTTGCAAAAGATCAGGTTGAGTTTCATCTCGGAATGCACCGTCCTGAGTTTCTTTATGTAGATATGGTACTGAGTGAGTATCCACTTATAAAGGTGCCATATCGCACTTCATTTGAGGGGTGGGATGATAATGAGCCCAATATGGACCCCAAGAAGAAATACGTGTGTCTCAATGTCCGAACTGGTTTGAGAATTACCTGTAAAGATCAGAGGAGGCAGTTTGTATGTGCAACGTACCATCAAGTGCAACAAAGGGACCCCGACAAATTTTATGATTGTAAGTTGATTATTGATAACAGCCATTTGAATCTTTAAAAATACGCAACGTAAACAGCTCATTCATACGGGCAAACACATTAGAGTTATGGATTCCTATAACTTGATGCTGTGGTTGCTTATTGCATATGCTTCATGTGCTTCAAAAGTTGACCCATGAGAAGGTCCTTGACTTCAGAACAGATGCTCTAGTTGTCAAAATTGATTTCAGGTCACTTACATCACTACTACCACATGATTAATTGTTAAAGCGGCTGATAGAAACCGTGAAAAAAATGATCCTTTAAGACTTTTATACGGAACGTGCCGTTAAACAGTTGTCAGCAAAATGAACAAGAATGCATTCGTAGAGCAATTTGTTTATCTTGAAGGTTTCTTTTTCAAAAGCAAATAACAAACCAAACTTTTTTGTGTAGTCATATATAGGGTACATTACTTTCGACATGTGAACGACACTCTACTGGGGGAATACTGGGTGATGAAACAGGAGTTTACATATACCAAGGCTTATATTGCATGTAGCCGCGGCAGATACTCTACCCTAGCTGTCGGCTTCGACCAGGGCGAGTTGGACTTCATCGCCGAAATCGCCTCATTAAGAGAATGGGAGCTACATTACATCCACCTGGGCTTTGCAGAACGAAACAACAAAGATTATTACCAATCCTTTGCAAATGAATTTTACATGCTTCATTGGAGCTTCCGAATTGGAAAATTTTGGGACCACGGTTATCTGGAAGGGAAAAAGCAGTTTGGCGCAGCCAATGTTAAACAATTAACTCGATGTGAATCTATGTCGGCAAAGAAATTCACATGTGCAGTTTATGACTGGATACCTGATAATAATTTCCGTGAGTAAAAAATGCTTGTAATCAGTGAGAAAAAAATCACATTTGACACGCTGATCCTGCAGTAAAAACTGAATGTGGCACATTCTGCGGCAGAGACATTTTCTTCTAATGTTTTCACACATTTCACCCCTTAACTTCACACATTTCGCCCCAATTTTTCGACGCTTAGTGCATAATAGCGATTTTTTCACTTTGGCCAGGTGTAGTCTGAGTTTCTCTCTAAAGTCGAGAATAGAAGAATGGAAGAGGCAGATGAAGAGGCAGATGAAGAGGCAGATGAAGAGGCAAATGAAGAGGAAGAGGAAGAGGAAGAGGAAGAGAGGAAGAGAGGAAGAGAGGAAGAGAGGAGAGAGAGAGAGAGAGAGAGAGGAGAAAGAGGAGAAAGAGGGAGAGAGAGAAGGATATAGATTGAGAGAGAGAGAGAGGGAGAGGGAGAGGGAGAAAACGGGGAGTAGAGGAGAGGAGAAGAGCGAAGATAGAGAAAAGGAGAAAGAGAGAGGAGAGAGAGAGAGAAGAAGATAGATTGAGAGAGAGAGGGAGAAAGCGGGGAGGAGAGGAGAGGAGAGGAGGGGAGCGGAGATAGAGAAAAAGAAAAAAAGAGGAGAGAAAGAGAGAGATAGAAGGAGATGGTTAGAGAGAGAGAGAGAGGGCAAGTGGGAGGTGACAGAGAGGGAGAGAGGGAGAGGGGGGACGTGAGGGGAAGAGAGAGAGAGAGAGAGAGAGAGAGAGGAGAGAGAGAGAGAGGAGAGAGAGAAGAGATGATTACACGCAAAATATGTTTGAGCTCAGGATGTTAATAGTTTTCAGTTTTTTTTCTAAATCCCAACTGGAAATTCTAATACGTATATATATGGAATATCTTTATTTTATTTGTATATCATATATGTATATATATGTATATTCATCTATTTTTTGGTTTTAATTTTTTTTAAAACTGGTATATATAGAGCAAAAAGTTTTTTCCAATGCGTCTTTGGACAATATTTGAAAGTTCATTTGTCAGCTGGTCTTGCAATTGGTCAACTTTATTTTTAAATTCTCTAGATTATTTTTGCTTAACCGGAACTTTTTGCAATTTTTAAAATTTTTGAAGGCCCAAATCTGATTGGCTGAAATTAGTTTTCCCGAATTCGGTCTCTTCAATATAATGAACGCAATCTGTTAGCAACATTAAGCTTATTGCACTTTGCTTATCCCAAATTGGAAAAAAAGGGGCAACTCTCAAACTGGATCGCAGATAACGCAAAATAAGTCTGAGCTCAGGATATTGATAGTTTTCAGTTTTTTTTTTTAATTTCCTTCCTGGAAGTTCGAATAGTTCTAGTGAAATTCCAATCATTTTATGTTAGTCGTTCTTACACTGACTACGATGTGTCCTTTTTCATACTGAACTCAAATGAAAACTCTCCGGTAGTGCATTGATTTGCGATAGTTTTCATAAACAGTTTGTGTTTCTGGACTGGATCGCAAAAAGTTTCATTTTGATTGCCTCTAACCTAAGGGGCAAAGCATGGGCTTGTTGGAAACGAGTGAGGAGCGATTTGTACTTTTTTGAGGGGCGAAATGTGTAAACACCATTAACACTTTGCTAATAAAAACACCAAATTATAGTGTAATGGAGACTTCTAAATGCTGCTTTTTTGTAAGTGTGTTCTAGTTTGCCTGATTATCTCTTTTTCTTTCCAGCTAGACAGATGGGAAAAAATAGGAAAGTGATCAAAACTCATCCACCATTTCATGTCAGCTGGACTTCAATCGAGCGTCCCCCTCTCACTTCCAGGCCTCTCTTGAGAAGTGTGCCACTAGCAAACAGACACTGTTAGTTTAATCAGGCATTCGCTGTCGTTCCCACCACTTCAAGTGCGTAGTATGTTTTTGTTCCTCAATTTTGACTACCTACCAAAGAAAGCTACCAATTTTGATTTGCAGAAGGTCAATCGTTTCTCTCAGTTTTGAGAAAAAAATGGTCTGAATTTATCGATTATTTGCCAATTTTTATCTCAATTTGGCTATCATGACCTCCAATTTTTGCAGTTTTTGACTTATTGCAACCAATTCTTACCGCTTAAAAAATCAAGAAAAAGTCTGGTTGTCAATTTTTAGAGTCAATGAACGTAGTAAAGACTCGTATATAGGTATTAGTGATTTTTGGAGAGTCGATGAGCGTAGTTCAGACTCTTAATTATGTCGTGATCTTTTCTTTAGGTCGTGTTGAACTAGATACTTTCATCAAAAAAGAGTATCATAAATTGTTCTAGAAATTGAAAGAGCAAGAGCTTTCAGGCTATCTATTTTTTAGTTTTTAGTTCAAAAATTGCAATTTTTTCAATACTTTTTACGAATTGATGAACATAGTTCAGACTTTCATCTAGGTTATGATGACTTTTTCGTTTTTTTTTTCAGGAAAAATCTTGAAAACTTTCAAGCTCTAATTTACATTTTAACGGTTTGATTTTTGATTTCTTGTAAGTTCGGTGCAGTTTCTTTGTTAAAAGCAATGCAAACTCCACTATCAAACAGCAAAAGAGTAAAGGTCACAAAAAACGAGCAGAATACAATTTTTTAAATCCAGTTTTCTCTATCAAGAGCCAAGGAAAAATTGTTCTAGAAGTTCAGAGAACTTTATAGACATATATATTTTTTGTATTTTGAATCTCGAAAATTGAAAAATCAGAATTTTTTATTTGCATTCGTTGACTATTTTCGAAGTCTCTGCTTGTTATGTTTTTTTTTTTTTAGGAAAATGTCTCAAAATCCTCTAATAACTACAGAGGTGCGTTCATACATAATTAGGGAATTATGAATTCATTTTAAGATACCTGCAATTTTTGAATTCAAAACAATTTCATCAGCTAAAATTAATTAAAATGCGCTCTCCAGTCACGAATGTGGATATGGCGCAACAAAATGTGATCGACATCTAATTTCGAAAGTGGATTTTAGTTTTCAGATTATCCAGCGGAAAAAATCTACCTATTGGTCTGAAATTGAACTAATTTAATCAAAAATTTATTAACTGTTCTTGAAATTCAAAGATTTTAAAGGCCACATATTTTTTAGTTTGAAGTTCGAAAATTGAATTTTCTAACCAAAAAACATGACATTTTTCTTTCGGTTTTCTTGCGCTCATTGGCTGCGCTATGATTTTATTTTGTATTTATACACACACATACACACACACACCTATATAGGAACCCTTAAACTTTTTCTGTCGGTTGCTTTGGTCGCTTGGTTTTTCGTATCGGAAAGGTCTTAAAGAGTTTTTTTTTTTAATTTTCTCAGTATTTGTGAGTGTTGTTTTGCAGGGTTTAGTGAAGCGTTTGAGTGGTACAGTAAGCTGGACGACTCTGTAAAGGCTACCTACTTCATTCCAAACTTAAGGTCCAATCACAACTGGACAGCTGCTGCAGACTACTGCAGAACCAAACTTATGTCGATTCCCGAGGCTAAAAAGCTGATATCTCCCAAAAACCCACCAACCTTGGCTATGGCTTTTACAAATGAGGAAATTGATATGTACTTTAGCCTTGACCATATAAAGCAGAGCGAAAACCCGATTCACATAGGGTTCCAGCGAATTAGAAAAACCGCTTACTCATTTCTAGCGTCTGCTTATGACATGACGATTACTAGCACTAAGAACAATATTCTAGAATATGAAAAATACCACTACGAGAACTGGGAACGGGGTCAGCCTTCGTTGAGGAATGATGAAAAGTATGGTTGCATGACAGTCAAACTGAAGGGCAGAAACGACTGCAAACAGGGTGAAAAACGGTTCATTTGTGCAAACTATACGTACGTCGATGCCAATGCGAATCTAGATCTCAAAAGTAAGTTGTATCGTCATATGGTTTATTCAGTCAAAATTACTGTGTTATAAAAAACGCGATAAAACTATAAGCAAATAAAAAGCTTTTGGAAAAGCTAGCATGTATTGGATGGTTTTTCACAGTTAAAGGATGAGTATAAGTGAACGGGATGATTGAAAAAATGTCGGGGAAAATGCCAAAAGGAAATGAATAGAAAGAGATTTTAGCCGTGTCCAGGTGTTCGACTTGTGTTTCGACTTTCTCTTTCTAAGATTTTTACCACTTCGATCAAAAAACGTAAGCTTTTGGCGCTTCCACCAAAATCGGGAGGCTGGAACAGAATAAAGTATGTTTTGCCCGTGCGCTTGAGATAAATCTGCTTCTTAATTGCGGAAATTCAGCTGCAACCCGACATTGTCTCGTCTCGTTTCGTCTCTGTTTCAAAAGTAGCAACAAAAATCGAGCACCGGTATTTCGTTTTAAAAGTACCCAGTAGTTCGTGTTTGAATGTTTTTGTGCTGCACGCCTTATTCAAGCTAACTAGTTTGTTTCTGTAAATATTTCTAGAAGTGCGAATGGTAATGAGGCAGGAAAAAATAACCGAGACTTTGCTGGCCGAGTATTACATGGTTTTCTCGAAATTCACGTTCGAAAGGGCCAGACAACAGTGCAAGTATTTCGGAGTAGGGTTTGACCTTGCGGTCGGGTTCAACAGACGAGAACTTGATCTTCTATACGAATTGGCAGCAGAAGCAATGTTTGGCCCGATAAAAGAGATCCATCTTGGCTTCCGAAGATGGACGTCGGAAATTACATACACCTCTGTGGTTTTAAATGTAGTTTTTAGCTCTTTTTGGGGTAAAAACGAGCCTGCAGGGAGAGAATCAAAGAATCAGCACTTTGGATGTTTGAAGACGGTTAATTCAAAAGATAGAACGGACGGAAAAAGTTATGTGCGAGGTGTTTGTACATCGGAACAAGCACAATATCTGTGTGCGGTATACGAGAAAATCCCATATAGAGACAGTAAGTGTTGCATTTCAGTACGTTTCAACAGGGGTACCTTGTAAACATCCGATATGTCAAATATCCGAAAACCAAAAAGTGTTACAAACATCCAAAAACTGCTTTTCTAGGGCAAACATTCGAACTTATCAAAGAGTATGGCAAAGGTCCGATTTCTTCTGTTCGCTTAAAAATTGTTTTAGTGGTGGAATGAAGGCGGATCGCCGCGGTCGTGCCAACGTGTTGCTAGTTCGCTAACAGAGAGTAGGACTCTATAGGAACGTTAGAGCCGGTTGTCGCCACGAAAAGGCGATGCGCGCATAGAGATCACCGACGGCCCTAAACCGAAAGTCGGCTTAATTGGAATTGAATAATTAAACGGTCCTGTTTGTGAAGTTCTAACGTCATATTATTACATAACTTTTTATATAAGTTCGGATGTTTGACATATCGGAGTTTCCCTAGACCCGTTTCAACAGCCTTCCTGAAAATGAGAAAATTCATTTAAGTTCATGGGGTTTTTTCAACTATACAATTTTAGCCCAACTGGGAGAAAATGATAACTAGGTTCAGGGTCGGATCTAGGATTTTCTCGAGGGGGGGGGGGTGCGTATTTTCAAAAAAAATTCGAAATTTTGTCGACTTTTTAGGTCGACCAAATTGATTTTTCGAGCTCTCCCAAAGCACTGTTTTGCTCCTGTTTTGGCCAAATTTTCTACGCAGCAGGCAAAGTTTTGAAAAAACAGGCCAAAAAAGGCGTTTTTAGGCACTTTTTTTTGGAAATTTGACCAAAAAATAAGTTTTTTCGGCGCGCGCTCCCCCCTCAAAATGAGTATAAAGGCGCCCTTAGAAAATATTTAGGGTCCTTCACCAAAAATGAATATGGGAAAATAGTATAAAGGGGGTTCCTTTGGGTCGCCAGGGGGCCGAATCCCTGAGGGGAAGCGTCCGCCCCCCCCCCCCCCCCCCTAAATCCGCCCCAGACTAGGGTCAAGATTTGCATATAAATAAATGTTGAATAAGTCTTTCACAGAGAAGTTTTATATTTTGCTCCTTTTAGAAGAGCAAAATATTTTAAAATATCTGAGTCATGAACGCTTTTGCCATGCAGACATGAGTTTGTAAAGCCTCGGGCATTTACGTGGTCATGAAATAAGGCTCACGTAAGCTTTTATTTGTTGCTCCAACTACTATGTGAAGTGGGAACGAACTATCCCAAAAAACGTTCAACAAAGTTTTCTCAGTTTCATTCGGCTACTAAATGACACTAATATACCCGAAAATTACGAATCACACTGAATTCTCAATTCTGTTAATAAGCTAAATTTAAATTTATTTCTTCAGTCGTTATTTGCGCTACTTTGGCAGTTTTTGACTTTTTGAATAGTTTGCTAATGTGCGTTACTGATAAAAACTTTTAAAAAAATTTTGATTTTCTCTTCTGAGGCAATTCTCATGGGCAAAGTACCCAATGGGAGAAAAACTCATGGGCGAAGGACCGAAAACAAAAACAGTTGGAGGTCAAATGTTAAAATGAACCAACTGCTGTTCAACTAAAAGGAATTAACGAAGCAATCTTTTGCTTCTTTTATAACAAAACCCTTGAAATACAGAATTTGCTCAAATCAGACGGGGTGAGTAACAATTTGAAAGTTTTGCATGTTTTGGGCGTTTTTATTTTTGATCAATATTAATATTAAGTCCCTGGAAATATTTACTTTCTTTGAGATTTTCTCGCTTTCTTTCCAAATTTGAATTACTGAAATCTGATTGGCTGATTTTTGTTTTCGTCAATTCGGACCTTCGCCTCGCATGTGAGGGATTCCACTATTCTCGTCCTCAATAATTGGTAGTTGAACTAATCTGTGTTGCTGGTTTGATGCATTACCTATTTTTAACAAAAATGACCATCATCAGTCTTTCCATTGTGAAGCAACTTCAGAATGTCCATGGATTGCAATCAATAACCCAAAAAGATTCAAGTTTAAGGACATACAGGTATAATATTGAAGGGAAGTTTTTGTGAAAAAAAAGCGCAGTGCTGTTATAATTATCCAGATGAAACGAACAACATTGGAAATTTTAAACGCGTCTTTCTCAATTTGGGTCACGATTAAACAAAAAGTGAACAGTAAGATAAATAGATTTTCCGCAGAGTTATCATAGTGCAATTCATGTTGTCAAATTCAGAACCACATTTGTAGCTCAAAAAAATTTGTCAGCTTGGCTTTTCTTAGTTAATCAAGAAATACGCCTAAAAGACCAAAATTATTGATAAGAAAATTATACCAAGTGAAGCCTCTCACACAGCTCAAAAAAGTTCTAGAAATACCCATTCTCCAAAAATTCAAATTTTTTTTGTTAGCCAAAAAATGTTGTTTTCACTAAATAAAACCCAAATTTTTTGCTTAAAAAGAATTTTTAAAAAATTTTCACAAATATCTTTTTAAAATGTTGTGATGTGTAAGAGGCTCACGTTGAAACAATTTTGTCATTATTTGACTCGGTAGTGTCTGCGTAATTTTTGATTCACTAAAAAGTTCAAAATATATCTGTTTTGGGGTAAAGTTTAGTCCCGATCTTTTGTATTAAGTCTGGTAAGTCTTCATTCTTTGCACCTAAAATCAGCTCAAATTGAGAAAAAGGCATTTTAAATTTTAAATTTTACTTGTTTTCGTTTTTGAATAAATCAAATCAGCATTGTATCTTAATTGCAATGCTCAGACTGATAAGTGTCAAGAAACGAAGTGAGCGTAATAATCATGGCAGTCTATCTTGTACTTTCTATTCCTCATATAAATGCGCATAGTTATACATGCAGTTTTAATTTCAACTGCATATAACATTTCTCATATAGATGCAGAGTTCAATTCAATTTCATTTGCTAGAAGGTAGGCAAAATGCACTTTCCATTTACGAAATCTTAAATGGTAAAAAAATGCGGTTGATTTTTAGTTTCGAAATTGAATTTTAATTTTTAGATTTCCCGACGGAATGAGAATTTTTAATATTACTCAAGTTTTCTCTAATTGCGTTAGTTTTAATCAAAACGATGCCAATCATAGAATCTTCCTGAATTTAAAAGAGACTAAGGGCCATATAATTTTTGTTTGAAATTCGAAAGTTGATGTTTGTTCAAAAAACAAGTCATTTATTGCCAGATTTTTGGCTATATTTATTGCTAGATTTACTCTTTTCAAATTGTCTGTTGCTTATGTTCAGTGTTTCCAGCGGAAAAAAAATATACATTGATTCAGTTTTCTCAAACATTGGATTGCTTTCTCGGTTCATTAAAAATTGTCAATTCAATAAAATGTTTGTGAAACTGAAGGGCTTTAATGTCATCAACTTTTCTCTGAAATCGAAAATTCTAAAAAACAATCACAAAAAAACATGATTTATAGCTTCATCCAGTTTTTTAGGTTTATTTTTATCAAGAGTTTATCAAAAAAATTGAAGGTAATTTTTCAGATTTTTGTCTCAAAACTTGAAAAGTGTTCAGAAAGAAATCACTACGTTTCTGTTCACTTGAGCTCATTGAGACTTTTACCCTGTTTAATGAATATACATTATAATTTTACGGAATCATCTTTGATCATACAACTTACTATGAAACTTCGTTGACAGATAAAGTTGTTTTGGCTTGATGAGATGTCAGTGAGCAGAATGAGTTTTTTTGGCCATGTGGTTTCTCAATTTTTTGAAAATATGGGACAATTTGTTCAGGTTCAACTTTTTTTGGCTGTTTGATTTTGAATATCTTTATCAACTCTTTTCAAGTTAATTAACAAAGAGCAGTCAAACTGGGCTCTCTAATACAAAAGCAATAAAAATATCGGAGTAGAAGGATGTTCTCTTGATCCAGTGTCTCAAGTTTTTTGTTCAACCAAAGTTGTCCTTTTTTAAAAATTCCTATATCTAAAAACTATATCTGTCCTTTTACTTCCTTGAGTTAATTGAAACTTATGGTGGCTATATATTTCGTATTTTTAGTAAACGGTCAAAACATCAGCAAACCAATACCAATCCCGCAGTCAGAAGAGCGAAGCTTAGAAGATTATCATGAGAAGGATGAGCCTAACGTCCTGGGAAATCAATCAGAACCGACACCGGATGCCAGTCTTGTGAACAAAGAAGGCTCTCTCGAGGCTGTAAAACAACAACTGATACTTCTGAGTGTTCCACAAACTGTCTTGTTGTTTCTCAATTTTGCTTTGGTTTCTTCAACATTCATTTGTTTCGTTACTATTTCTTGCTTTTCTATCAAAAAAGGGAGCACATAATTTAAAACAATCAAAATCTCTAACTTTGTTTTCATTATTGTTGTCTGAAAGTTTAAAAAACTGTTGTAGTTATGAAACTTGGCTGTAATAATCATTCAATAATTACGAATTGTTTGTAACTGTTAATGAGAGTTTTTGTCTTGTTAAGTTTTTTTGAAACAAAAAACAGCTTTCGGATTCATTTTCCAAGCGAGAAGGCAAATAAGTGTACCGAGAAGAACAAAAAGTAGCTAAAAAATTACTGTAGTTTTTCAAATTGAATTAAATTTGAGATTAACTGGCGCTAAAAATATGTTAACCTCCCGGGTCGAGGTCTGCGACTAAAAATTGGTTCTTACATGGGCGACATCAGAAAATGCCGCAACTAAGTGAAACTTCATTACCGGCGTAACCAAAATTGTCTATTTCCAGACTGGCGCGACTTTGAACCGATTGCGACCAGCATTATTGGGAAAAAAGCCTATGACCGGCGCGACTCGAAAAACCGCCCAAAAGACGCGACTAGAGCAAATGACGCAGCAAAAACTCGCCACTTTCCGACTGACAATACAGTGAGAAACTAATGCAATTGGCATGCACGACTGGTGCGGTTGAAACCAACGACGCAATTGGGGCAATTAAAAAAATCGAGCACTCACAAGAGAAAAATATTAATATTCGCCCAGCGCGACTATGAAAAGCTCTAGGTAGAGCGCTTTTTAATAAATTATTAAAAAGCGCTCTACCTAAAACAATAACAAAAAAATTTGTTAACGAATCGATCATAATCACAGTTTTTTAAATGCCGATTCGAATAGTATTCATGACATGAATTTGTCTCACACTAATTCTCACAAAATGCTAAGCTAAGAACCAATTAACTTCAACGAAACCACCCTAAATGAAACGCTACAAATCCACAATGTCAAATGGCACCTAAATCCTCCGGCTGCTCCCCATTTTGGCGGCGTGTGGGAGCGACTCGTCTCAATGATAAAACGGGCGTTCTTACTAAATCTCGGTTCTGATCGACTATCAAGAGATCTATTTGCTACTATCGTAGCCGAGACCGAGGCAGTAGTGAGTTTGACGATGACCTCCCACTGACACCCAACCACTTCCTATCGTCCATTCGTCTACGCTCCAGCAGCAGCCTTCTACGAAGCATCTACCAGTAAAGTGTGCAACAACAAGTCCTGGAAGCTAGCAAAAGATAGAATTGACAACTTCTGGAGGCGTCTACTTAAATAGCATGCTCCGACTTTCATCAGAAGGACTGAATGGACGCAACCCGAGGAGCCACTCGAAAAAGATGACTTCGTGTGGATACTCGAAGACTTTACACCACGAGGCATCTGGCCACTGGGTCGAGTGCTAGAAGTTTTAACAGGCTCGGATGGCATCGCGCGTTCGTGTTAACTGAAAACAGCCCTAGGTACTTTAACGAGACCAGCGGTGAAATTTGCCCTCGTATCCCCCCCAAAAAAATTTCAGAGCACTTTAATTGTACTACAACAACAAAAAAACTGGGCTCAACTCCTTCCTCTTTGGCTCTAAATAAAATGTCCTTCCCCCGAGGATTTTCCTACCATGAAATTGTCTCACTTTAATTCTCACAAAATGCGGTAAAATCATTTTAAAACGGCATGATTTGTTGCGAACTAATTAGAAATAAACTTGACTTCCGTGAACAAAGAGACCTTTAAGACTTATAATCATCAACTTGTCTTGAATAAATGGTAAAAAAAGCGATTTGAATGGCCAGCGTAAGGACTCAAGTCTGTTGTTTGGAGGTGCATTTTAAATCAGATTGAACCTTGAAGGTTCACATAAGCTAATTGTTTCGATGAGAATCGAAATCATAGAAACCGTCAATGATTTCTTTACTATGGTTTTTACTCAAGAAACGAAGTATTTACTCGTCATAAAAGACGTCTCTTAGTTTATGAACAGAACTGTCCAATTTTGTTACTGGACATTGATATAACTTTTATGGTTTTTACTCAAGAAACGAAGTATTTACTCGTCATAAAAGACGTCTCTTAGTTTATGAACAGAACTGTCCAATTTTGTTACTGGACATTGATATAACTTTTAAAAAGTTTTTTATGCTAGTTTGACTATCCTATTTATAACAAATCTTACTTGCTCACTCAATTTTTCTTTAAAAAATTGTTTTCGTATTAGTAATTTTTTTCTCTGTCATTTAGGTCATTTAGTAGATGCTTATTTTTCCTTCGATGTTATGAATTTGTTGACATCTATACTTCAATGTTTTTTCTTATGAAATTTGTTTTTTTTTTTACAATTTCGTGTGTATGAAGTTCAAAAATTTCGTGTTACAATTTCGTGTGTATGATGAGATTTTTTGTTTGTCATTTCAATTTTTTTCATTGATTTATTTCCTGGTGATTATTCTCTTTAAAGATAACTGTTCTTTTTGCTGGAAAACTATAACTGTTTTTGAGATGCAACCATAGATCAGTATTCCCTGTTGCTAAAATGGCTGTTCATAACTTTTGTACACTCATCTGAGTTGTTCAATCGACAAAATGTTTCTAGTTTGGCAGTGAAATTATTAATTCTGTGCAACGATCTTTGTTGTTTCGGAAATCAAACATTGCTCAGTTTGGAAACCTTAATATCTTTAAACCACATTATTTCAACACTCCTTCTTGAACCTTAATGGATGACTTCGATTTGTTTGAGCTGGACACGAAAATTCTGTTGCCCTGGTGATTATTCTCCAATCATTAATCATACGTAGCGGTTTGGTTAACGCAAAAAGGGCAGACGATAGCTCTAGAGAACTGAAAACGCGACTTGCCATTCAAAGACGCCAAAAAAGGAAAAGCTGTTTAGCGTCAGAGAAATTTGCAGTCTAAGGCAGAATTGAGTGCAGAAAAGGTTTCTTCGATCTTGCAGATTACTCTAGATGTGTTGATTTAGCCTCCAAGTCCAGGCAGAGAATCTTTTTTTTTCGGTTTCAGTCCCCGAAGCAGCAAACGCAACAATAATACCTATTTCAACTCTGTTTTTTTTTGTTGTCGGCTTTCTAGAGGCTATCTACAAAATTGTATAGGATTTCTAGAGGTATAAAAACATATTATTGATTTATTAATTAGTGGATCTCCGGAGATTCGCGGATGTGGCCAGGTGCCTGAATAGCAAATAACAAATAAAAAACAGCAATAAATTCCGAGAAAGAGAGAGAGAGAGAGAGAGAGAGATGTGGTTAGGGTTAGGATTTCGGTGAAGATATCTAAGTTTCGGGTATTGCCTCAGCCAGGCAATTAAAAATGTTTGTTATAAAACTAAATGAAGTTGGTAATAGTGTATCCAAAGAAAATTGGGATAAACTGGTACTGAAAGTATGACATGCATTGTATATATAGAAAAAGAAATGAGCTGTCTTGACCGTTCTGAAGCCAGATTTATTTGAGCTGTTTCAGTGTTTTTTCTGAGGTTTTATTCATGGTTTGCTTGTCTTTTGCGTGGTTGCGCGCTTTAGAGTCAGTGTGATCTGGTCTTATAAAAAGTTTGTGGTATACTCCTATTTTCATTAATTTTCATTCACTCTTTCAGCTGAAGTTTTTGCTCTGTTTCAATATCTTTAAGCATTTTTGAGGTCACAATTGTTCATTGATGAGTATGTATTGGCGCCAAATACGCCTTTGGTAAAACTTTAGTCCGTCGAAAAATGGATACCTCAAAACAGTATAAAGGGGTGACCCTTAGGGTAGGCAGGGGGTCGGATCCCGCATTTATTTCCTGTTTTCTTTTTATTAGACGCTGTAAGAAGGTGTGAAAAAAGACTGATCCAAGAGAAGGGGCTTTAGAAGGAGAACTAAAATTGAAAAAAAAAGAAACGCACGGCAATGATTGGTACACAGACCGCAGCGAGTATTTCGCATTCTGTAAATGATGCTTTAGAGTTTTCCTCTGGGCCCCCGCAAGATTTATACTAATCAAGATTAAAAAGCATTGGCAACCAAAACAAAATAAATCACTCAAAAACAGCCATCAAGCTTGGAAAAAATTAGAATTCAGTAGATCACTTTCTGGGTGGTAAAATAAAAAACCAGTTGCGAACTTTTACATTCTTTTAGGATGGGAAACTTGACACTCAATTAAAATGACCAGGCGAATACTGACTATGTTGGAAATTGATCAAAACATTCTCGCTGCAAAACTAAACCAATTAGAAATAATATTTGATAACAAATTTTTAATAATTAATTTCATCCCGCATCTAAAAAAGCGAAAAAAAATTATTTATAATACATTTTTGAGGTCCAAAGTGTCATCAAAACAATAGATTCCCATATTGCATTTAAACAACAGATGGAATAAAAACTGATTATATTCTATTATTTTAAATAAAACTTAAATCTTTAATAATCCATTTAAAATCAAATAAAATGGATTTTTTTCCAATTATTTTTTGTTTTGCGTCGTGCAAAATTTTGCAAAAACTACTGCATTTATTAAATTGGTAACGCGGAATTTTTGGCAAAGCGAGTGTACGGCTTACTCAATTCTATTCAGCTGAACCTAAGTTTATTCCGTTAACCTCTCCCCCTTAACAAGCCCCCCCCCCCACTCCTGAACCACCTCCAACCCCTACTTTTATTGTATTTTTTTAAAAAGTGACAAGAAATCATTTATAAACGACATGCAATGTATTTTAATGCTTTCTTAAATAATGGCAAAATAATCCATTTTTAATCGGTTATAATTGATTATTTTTCACTTTGATAAACATTGGCAATAAAACTCAAAATCTATCAAACTTTAACTTTGGAAATCCAGTGCGGGATCCCTTGACCAAAAATGGGTAAAAACAGACAATCAACTGGCGTTTTGATTGACTCATTTGGCGGTTTTTAGATAGACCTAATTAGCCGTTATGAAGAAAGAGAAATACTGAGAAAAACTCCAATCCGAGTTAAATCATCAGCTCAAATAAAAAGATAAAAAACAATTGAAAATCGTTCAAAATTTGATCAAAAAAGCTACAA